TGTGTCTCTGTGGGTATATCTGTATGTGTGTGTGTGTGTGTGTGTGTGTGTGTGCGTGCGTGCGTGCGTGCGTGCGTGCGTGCGTGCGTGCGTGCGTGCGCGCGCTCACATGCAGAGACCAGAGGTGTTCGTTAGGTGTCCTGCTTATCACTCTCCATTTTATTCCCTTGAGACGAGGTCTCTCTCTGAACCTGAAGTTAGGCTGTGCCAACCAACCCCAGTGCCTCTCTTGTCTCTGTATCCACTCATTTCTAGCTCTAGGGTTACAGTACACATGCAACTGTGCCTGGCTTTTAAAAGCTTTTTTTTTTTTTTTTTGGTTTTTCAAGACAGGGTTTCTCTGTGTAGCATTGCGCCTTTCCTGGGATTCACTTGGTAGCCCAGGCTGGCCTTGAACTCACAGAGATCCGCCTGGCTCTGCCTCCCAAGCACTGGGATTAAAGGCGTGTGCCGCCACCACCGCCGGCTTAAAAAACATTTTTTAAGAGTTATTTTTATCTTATGTGTATGGGTATTTTGCCTGCCTGTATGTCTATGTACCATGTGTGTGCGATTGGTATGTTCACAGAGGCCAAAAGAGGGAATTGATTTCCCTGGAACTGGAGTTACAGACAGTTGTAAGCTGCCATGTGGGTGCTGGAGATCATATCTGGGTCCTCTGGGAAAGTAGTCAGTGCCATTAAGCACTGAGACATCTCTCCAGCCAGCCCCCATGCCTGACTTTTTAATGTCGAATCTGGGGGATTTGAACTGTCTTCTTGCTTTTGCACCAAGCACTCTTACCTACAGAGCCATCTTGCCAGCAACCTACTCTACTCGTCAGGAAGACTCCAATACTGCTCAAATTGATCTCAAACACCGCGTGGGAATTCACTCTGTCAATGGCCTTGGGGTAGCTGGCTTGATAGAGGCATGGTTTCTCTGGGTATGTGACTGCTTAAAAATGAGGGGAGAGAGAGCTTGTGCTTGCTCTCTCTCTCTCTCTCTCTCTCTCTCTCTCTCTCTCTCTCTCTCTCTCTCTCTCTGGTGGTGGTTGGAGGTGGAACTGCTGGTTCCATTCACTCCAGGCAGAGAGGGGGACCATGGTGGCTGTTTACTTTGTGCTGTATCCTTGAGTGCACTTTCTCCCCATTTTATAGCTTAATAAATCCTTGATACCCCTCTTAACAGATTCTCATGGCTTCACTTACAAGAAACAGAAAAATGTTTCTTAGCAACCTTTTGACATATAACCCAAGAGCTAGTGAAATGTTGACTATGGCTATTGCTACTATGACTCACTGTGTGTGACTCCTCTTTGAGGAACCTGTGGGATACTTGGGTATGCCTTATTCCTCCAGATTCCCTTGAGAATCACACACCCACACTTGGGCCTGCCCTTCTTTCCGAATTCTCTGGTTCTCAGTAACTCTCTTGTTTGACCTCTCTTGTTATCTTTGATAAAACCTCCCCAACAACTGGCTAGGCCTGAAATTCTTTTCTGTGTCAAAGCCACAATTCCTGGTTTGGCCTTACTCAAGGTCCCTAAAAGATTAGGGACTGGGGCGGGAGAGGTGGCTGAGCAGTTAAGATCACTTGCTATGGGGTGGAGAGATGGCTCTGGCTGTTCTTCTAGAGGCCCTGGGTTCATTTCCCAGCACCCACATGGCAGCTCACAACTGTCTGTAACTTCAGTTCCAGGGGATTGGACACCTTTACACCAATGCACATAAAATAAAGATAAAAAAAAAAATTACTTGCTGCTCTTCCAGCAACCTCAGGTTTGGGTCCTAGGATCTAGACAGGAAGCTGGTAACCACCCATAACTCCAGCTCCAGGAGATCCAGTGCCCTCTTCTGGTCTTTTTGGGTATGTGCACTCACATGGCATATACTCACACAGACATACACATATATATTACTAAAACAAAAATATAACTCTTCTATTAAGGGAACTTCTCCTGCTCCTGAGGATGACAGTGTGAAAGCTGTGTCTCTGTCTCCTCACTGCTACTACCCCAGACCTGTATCAAAACACCGGGCACAGCGGCATGTTTGTGTAATCCCAGCATTGGGGAGGCAGAGGCCAGAGGGTCTCTGGGCCTTGGTAGTCAGCCCGTCCACCCTAATTGATGAACCCTAGGTCAATGAGATCCTGTCCCCATTTCAAAGTAGGTAGACAGCATTCCTGATGATGACATCTGAGACTATCCTCTGGCCAACACATCCACCCTCCACCTCCCCTCCCCACAATTACATACACATGAACATGTGCACATGAACACACATGCACAAATGCACATGAGTGGCAGGGGGATGAAGGAGAAAGGTTGGAGAAGAGGATGAACAAAACCAAATATGTTTCAAAATGCCCCAATAAAGGGTTGGAGAGATGGCTCAGTGGTTAAGAGCACTGAATGCTCTTCCAGAGGACTGTGGTTCAATTCCCAGCAACCATGGGGTGGCTAACAATTGTCTGTAATTCCAAGATCTGACACTCTCACACAGACACACAGGCAAAACACCAAAGCACATAAAAATTAAATTATTTCGAATGCTCTCATGCTCTTGCTTTTCGGACTCTGCATCTCCCCGTGCCCATGTGCTCTATGTCCCCAGAGTAAACGGCTAGAGGAAGTAAAAAGAGAAGAGAGGGAGCTGCTGGAGGCTCAGTCCATCCCCCTGAGAAACTACCTGATGACCTACGTGATGCCCACGCTGATGCAGGGGCTCAATGAGTGTTGCAAGGTGAGACCTGAAGACCCCGTGGACTTCCTGGTAAGATTTCTTTACAGCATTTTTTTTTAAAGTTGTATCTGTTTTAGGTATATGGTTGTTTTGCCTGCACGTGTCTGTGTACACGACATGTGTGCAGTGCCTACAAGGCCAGAAGAGGGCACTGGACTCCCTGGAACTGGAGTTTTAGGAGGGGTTATGAGCACCTGTGTGGGTGCTGGGAATCAAACCCAGGTCCTCTGCAAGAGCAGCAAGTGCTCTTAACAGCTGAGACATCTCTCGAGCCTCGAGATTTAATTTTTTTTCAAGGCCAGCCTGGGCTACCAAGAGAGTTCCAGGAAAGGAACAAAGCTAACAGAGAAACCCTGTCTCAAAAAACCAAAAAAAAAAAAAAAAAAAAAGATTTAATTTTTTAAAATATGAAATTGAAGTATGGTGGAACTCAACAGAAAACTTGCTGAGTTTGAGAAAATGCACATCTCATTTCTTAGGAAATAGCTTCTAATGCGTTCATGGATTACCGTTAAGATTTCTTCTTTTTCCTCCTTCAAGTATTCTTTTGTAAAAATATACATATATTTAAATATATTCTCTGAGAACTCTGCATACCTATACAATGTATTCCGATCCTACTTTCTCCTCTTAGCCTCCAGCTCTTCCCAGATTCCACATTCTCCCACACTCCCTTCCAACTCCATGTCGTTTGTTCGTTTCTTTTGATAACCCACTGAGTCCACTTAGTGCTTCCCTAGGGACATGGGCAACCCACCACGGACTGTCCCTAAGGAAGACTGACTCCCCTCCTTTAGCAGTGACCAACTGTCGGTAGCGGTAGCGTTTCAATTGGGATCACGTGCCGTTCACGTGCTGATCACGTGCCGTTCTTCTGGCCATGCTCTTTTGTCTAATGTTGTAGGAGTTCTTTAATCGTTTATTTGGAAGGAAAGAATGTATGCACTCTGAAACTCTTAAACACTGCTAGCACAAATTCATGGCAATAAATGCTTTGTAAATTGCTAACCTTTGGCTGGGGAGATGGCTTATTGGGTAGAGTACTTACTACTCAAAGTGTGAGGACTTGAGTTCAAATGCCCAGAAACTATACAAAGCTGGGTGCTACGGCCTGTCTTTTTAATCCCAACACTCCTATGGTGAGATGGGAGGCAGGGGCAGGAGAGTCCCCAGAAACTCACAGCCCAGATAAGTGGATGCACACAGTAGCCAACAACAGGGGATCCGTCTGGGGCGAAGGTGTGGAAGGTGGGAACTGACGCCCGAGGTTGGCTTCCGATCGCCACACGCACACCTGTATATTGGCGTGCACACACACACCCCCGCCCCCCCCAGACTTCAAACATGAAAAATCAATTGTTTTCTCTCTATTGTAGGCAGAGTATCTCTTCAGGAACAATCCTGAAATGCAGTAAAGATTCATCAATGGTGGATCGTGGAGCTTCACAGAGAGCGCTCAAGTTAAACTTGCGTTTTGAAAAACGGCTTTTGAAAATGCTTTTCTAGGGTTTTTTTTGGTGGGTGGGTGAGGGGGAATCTTAATAAAGTAGAATCATTAAAAAGCTATATTGCAATGAGTGATCGCTGCTTTATTGAAACAATATTTGAAAATTAAAGGCTGGGCGGTGGTGGCGCAGGCCTTTAATCCCAACACTGGGGAGGCAGAGCCAGGCGGATCTCTGTGAATTTGAGGCCAGCCTGGGCTACAGAGTGAGTTCCAGGAAAGGCACCAAAGCTATACAGAGAAATCCTGTCTCAAAAAACAAACAAACAGGGGCTGGAGAGATGACTCAGAGGTTAAGAGCACTGCTTGCTCTTCCAAAGGTCCTGAGTTCAATTCCCAGCAACCACATGGTGGCTCACAACCATCTGTAATGAGATCTGGTGCCTGTGGGGATATGTGCAGACAGAACATTGTATACATAATAAATAAATAAATCTTTAAAAAAAAACTAGCAAAAAAGAAAGAAAGAAAGAAAGAAAAAAAAAGAAAGAAAAAGAAAAAAAAAGAAAATTAAATAGGTAAGACATAAATGTATAGCCCAGGGATTAATGGGCTTTTGTTTGTTTTTGTTTTTTCAGATAGGGTTTCTCTGTGTAGTTTTGGAGCCTGTCCTGGAACTCACTCTGTCGCCCAGGCTGGCCTCAAATTCACAGCGATCCGCCTGGCTCTGCCTCCCAAGTGCTGGGATTAAAGGTGGGCACCACCATCGCCCAGCCACAAATTAATTAAGTATAGGCACAAACTATGCTTTTCCCCATAAAAAATAAAACTCCTGTAAAATCTTATCTCGTATTATCCTGAAGAAGAAATTGCTTTCTTTTATTGGTTAAGCAGGTTAGTTTTAATGCATCTATGTGTATGTATGAGAGAGATCTTTTTAAATATTTAAATAATTTGCCTGGCAGTAGTAGTGCATACCTTTGATCCCAGGAGGTACAGGCAGGTGGATCTCTGTGAGTGCAATAGCGGAAGAAGATCCCACCCCAGAAAGCAGGACTAAGAACCATTGCTAACATCCTAAGGGTAGCTTCAGATCTTGCTCACATGGTAGAGTGCTTGCCTAACACAAAACCCTGGTGTTGCAAGCCTTTAGTCCCAGCACTCGCACTCGGGAGGCACAGGCAGGCGGATCTCTGTGAGTTCAAGGCCAGCCTGGTCTACAGTGCGAGATCCAGGACAGGCTCCAAAGCTACACAGCGAAACTCCTTTTAGAATATGGATTAGCCTATACAAAAATGTCTGCTGTAAATCCAACAGTGAAGGGAATAGGAATCTCATTTACACAACTTAGGTTTCTTCTGTATCCCAGAATCTAATCAATATTTTTAGGTATAATTCAGCTATCATTTGGCTTAAAAGGGCTTATGGGGGAGGGTTGGGGATTTAGCTCAGTGGTGAAAAAAAAGGGGCTTATTGGGAAATGTTATCATTTATACTATTTTCTACGGAGAAAATATTTTACTGTTTAAAATAACCCTGGACTTTTAAATTAAAATCTGTTTTTATGTTCAGGCTATCTGTGTATTATTTCTCCTGCAGTTGTACATAAAATTGTCTTTACATTAAAAAAAAGATTAAAGGCATTCACCACCACAAAAACAAAACAAAACAAACAAACCCTGAGTAACATCCCTAGTGATGGCACCTAGGATCAAGTTAGTTTTCTTGGCCAATTATTAATGAAAAGGCAGGAAAGAAGTGAGTGAATATCTATGGGGAGCCGCCATGGGATATCAGGGACACTAGGGGACCTTCTTGGGGTTCTTAGTCTCATTGATAAGAGAATTTAAGAAAAGGCTGAAATGGGAGCTTAAGGATAGAGTTTAAAAGGAAAATCTCTGGAAGAAGGGGGAGGAAAAGCCTTGCCATTTGAGATAAAGCCTGCATGAAGGTCAGTCAACTGGAGGCAGACAGATATGGTGGTGGTGGTGGGAGCCTTAGGGAAAGAGTAAGCAAACTCTAAGAACCAGGGACCTCGAAAGCTTCATCCTTAAGCTCTGGCTGAAAAGAGAGACAAGAAGGAGGAATAGTTGAGTTGGGCGTTTCTAATGACGATTCAGAATGGTGAGCATATCCTGCCCAACCTCATGCGGCTCACAAGGCATGTGCCAGGGATGGAGATTTTAGGAAGGAAAAATATGGTTATTTTAAGATGAACCCATCTTACTAGGGATAGTTCCTCCTTCCTAAGGGTGGTCCTGTAATCAGGATCTTGACCTGCCCAACTGGATTAACTTTTTGGTTTGTTTGTTTATTTTGAGACAGGGTTTCTCTGTGTAAGAACCCAGGTTGGCCGGGCGGTGGTGGCGCACGCCTTTAATCCCAGCACTCGGGAGGCAGAGCCAGGCGGATCTTTGTGAGTTCGAGGCCAGCCTGGGCTACCAAGTGAGTTCCAGGAAAGGCGCAAAGCTACACAGAGAAACCCTGTCTCGAAAAACCAA